CGCGTTAAATATTGAATATCTATTTTCTGAGTAGTCTCGTGTTCACAGCTTTGTGGATTGTGTGGCTATTGTCCAATGCCACTACAGACGAACAATACTTCTGTCTGTGGCGACCCTTACCAGGACGATAGTAACTGGTGCAAAACTTGTCTTTATGTAGAAAAAATTTTCGCGCGATGATAAGGTATCCATGTTTTTGTCGACTGTCCTAAAATGTGATGGCGTCTTAGGTCATTGAGGACGAAAAGAAATTGAGCATTCAGGCGGTCAGCTGACAAAAGACGGAGAAATGTGGCCTGTGGACCAAAGATTTAGTTTATTAGCATGCCATAATACGATCTTCCTGAATAAAACAAATGGCCTCAATAGATTTTGTTTTAAATCCCACGCCTATACAGTATAGCACGGCTATTTAAAAATGAGTTGTAAAGTTCATTAATACCTAATACGGATTCAACTTAATGCTCTATAGAAATGTGTGGAGCTTGTAATAAACACTACGATTATCATGTAAACGTCATTGAAACTATTGTCCATAATCGCATATGTGACGAAAACGTAAACCGTCTTTTACATAACTGATGTACGAATGATAATTATAATAGCAATGTTTCCGGAACGATGCCACCAGGATGCTATTATTATTCACAGTTAGCAAATTGTTTTACCAATGATGACTAGACGTCTGATTGGTGATATAATTATTCGTTTGACCAGACGTTCATACGAAATTGATCATTAGATGTGCTCAAACAGACATGAATAAGAAGGCGTTGAAAGCAGCTAAAAGTTAAAGTTCTTTGTAGTGGTGTAAAGATCGTCACAATTACAGTAGATAAAGAACTAAGATTTTCGGAAAATTACCCGTGTCATCAACTACGATGAGCCCGATAATATTAAAAGATGTGCCAATGAGTTTGATAATAAGTATCCAGAAGAGGCAGTAGAGATATTCCTTTTCAAGTGTAATAATACCACCTGTCTTCTTTTTTACCACAAACTCCATAAATCAACATAGGCCTGCCATGCTACGTAACCTTGAAAACGACCAGCCAGCTTGAGGCAAAAACCCATGGATATGTCGAATATCTTCTGAATATAATAATAGTCATAATAATCATGATTTATTCTCAAATAACAGTTTGTTACATGAGGCATGCCGATTTACAGGTAAGATCAAATTGTTACAGAAGATACAGCCTTCATTGTGGTTGGTTACTCAGTTTGTTTGATATTTTTTGGGGTATATTGATCATAAAAGTATGGGGTATATTACTCCTCACATATGATTGCAAATATTAATAAGACCTGTATTGTCTTCGGACTCCTCCATTCCTGCCTACCGGTTTGGCAGGGTTTGGGTTTCCCCAACTTTTATTGTCACGGACTTAGGCGCTGCCAAATCCTGAATATCTATGACATCGTTATAGTGCTTTCTTATGTCATATAACCAACAATCTGAATTCGCTAGAGTTGTTTGGCACAAAATGGCTTCCGAATTCACTTTAACTTACATTGACGTCGTAAAATTCAATGATTTCCACCCCTGTCCTAGCCTAATCTAATGAGTGGGGTGTTCCCCGATAACTTTGGTAAGCAGAAATGTTATCAGGGATATTTGCATTTGGATATAAAGAGAATGCTACTGTAGCATGTACAAAGTGAACCATTTCGACGGCGTCTATTGATCGGATCATCTTAATTATCCTCGATTTCGATAGAATTCAGTTCAAGGGCTTCAAACCATTTGCGCAGCCTTATGTGATGATAAAAAAGACAAAACCGGCTTTGAAGATTTTTAGTGACTCAACCAGTGAGAGGCCATTGTTTTCACAGCAGGAGCCAGTTTCTGAGGAGTACAGCCATATGACGTTCAACCTTCATTGTCTAGAAAGTTTTGTCCTTTGCTGAGTCAACACCAATCAACCTTTCCGACTTTTCACCTGACATAATGATGTAAGGAATCGCGTCACTTTATCCAGCGCCTGTTTTTATTTGAATCATTCTTTATTCTCATATGCAACACAAAACTTTGTGATGTCTAGTGAACTCAGATTTCGAACTTAGCTGTATTTTTACCCAGTCATTGCTCGACGAGTAGTTAGGGATTTGTTCTAAATACATTTTTTGCTTTCTAGTCACGTTAGCATTTACTTGTCTATCCATTTCGGGTGATTCATAAGCTCACATAAAGTGGAGCATAGAGGTGAGTTTGAGAATCTTCTGAATGAGATCCTTATATTATGCGCGTAAAAGCAGTCGGTAGGTCTGCTGAGAGAACAACGTTTTACTTTTTGGATATGTAAGTTGGAGGTAATGACCAAGATGTACCAAGTGATAACTGATGTACGACCCACACAATCAATAACCCGTTTTTCACTTCAGATATAAGGAACATTATCTAGAGACTCAAACACTTTTTCTTTCGGTCGAAAGAGGTATTGCGGACTAGACTATGAGATTCGTCCGTCTCAGACAATACAAGCCTCTTACTTTGGGTTCTGTAACTAAATACTATGGTTTTGGTCACCTTTGGATCTGTTAACTCCAATTCCGTGTAGTTAAATAAGAATGGATTGATTGTGTCGCTCAAAATTCAGATAATTGGTATGAAGGTAGAAACATCCATCGAAAACAATATTTATTCAGTTAAGCAAAATATCTGTGTTCTTCCTTGCATGGTTCTGGACAGGATATGAAGCTTCTTTGAATGACTTGTAATCAACGATAAAACGAAAACACGTATTATATGCATATTATATTTACGTTATCAAGTTAATAAGAACAGGTTATCTCAAAACATAACATGCTTTTGCACTGCTCATTGACCACTATACAGTGAAAAGACATTCTAGCACAACGTAGTTTACTGGACACCAAATAGTGATACATATATACATCTGTCAAGCACCCGAGAATTATCAGGACTATAAACTTTGAAAACATGGTTACACAACTCACTGATAAGTTTTCATACAAAACGAAAATAATTCAGGAAGTGACAATATTGTCAGACGGTGCATTTTAAAGGGACCCTCAAAATAATCATTCTGTAGCACCAAGTGTTTAAACTTGTGGCCTAATAAATTGAGTTTGTCGATTCTAGATATGCGGTCGCGTGAATGTGATCAAGAGGACGCAAACACGGGAAAATTCAACAACACTGGTATCTGAGTCTCTTCCGACGAAACATTTAGAAATTCAACTAAAGAAAAAGGCAGGGATTGTTATCACGGAAAATCTATTTTGTTGTACACCGAGTGGATGTGATGTGCAAATTATAGTCAGATTAGTTATCAAAAAAGATGCGTAAAACAAAGGATTGAAACGTAATCAGTTGCCAATCCATGCCCTAGTGTCTTCATTTAAACTGTTATTCATACTCCTTGTGCTGCTGCCATTTTTAAAACCTCTTTCGCATATTGTTTTACTGATTTTTGGGTAATGTCCATCCTAGGTTAGCACCTCATCTAATTTGCCCAAGACACTAGACAGCTCATCCCACTTCCTCACCATTCAACACCGCCAATAAATTTATGATAGATACATAGTTTCGAAACCATGAGTACCATTTCTACTTCATGCCTCCCAACCATTATTTGTTTCTTCATTGTTTGTCTTCAAATCACTTCAGGAGTCAATATTTGGGCACCAATTTTGTATGGGCCTATATTATCAAGTGTACCGGCTGTACTAAAAGCGAAACTCAATTTGCCACACAAACATTCTCCCCTTATATGTTAAAACGACCAACAATGACCTAACGGTTATAGATTCTTGACTTCAATCAAACATAACCTTCTCAACTACCCCAAAGTGACCATAACCTTTCCGTGCTCAGTATGAAAATACAAGAGCATAGAACTCAAAACATGGATTCGGCGAGGTGAAAAAATCAGAGATAGGAAATCAAACCAAACACAAGAAGAAACACAGACTTTTAAAGATATTATTGAAAAGTAAGTCGTAGACGGCAAGTAAGAATAAATTCAAAGTGCTCCATCTGAAGACCAGAACTTAGTGGGGTACCTCAAGATTCCGTCCTAGGTCCTTTACTCTTTATAATGTATGTTAATGATCTTCCAAGTATAGTACAATCTCCAATGTTGTTATACGCTGACGGTGTAAAGATCTGGAGAGTAATAACTGGAGACACAGACGCATGTGCTCTTCAGGCGGACTTAAATAATATGATTAACTGGTCTAAAGAGTGGCTGATGCCTATTACCCGTGGTCCGGTCTCATAAGGATCTAGGGGTGACAGTGAGTCATGTTCTTAAGATGACAGCCCATTGCCTGGAGGTCGCAGCTAAGGGGTTTCCAACCCTCTGGGCTTTAAAACGGACATTCACTAAGTTATATACTACCATGTTCACCACAGCATACACATCCTTAGTGAGAAATAAGCTTGAGAACTGCGTTCAGGCTGCACGTCCCTGTTTAAAAGGTGGCCCAGATATCCTAGAAAAAGTACAGAAGGCAGTCACTAGTGCAATTCCAGAACTCCGGGGTTTACCATACAAAGAACGGCTTGAAAAGCTGGACCTTTTTAGTCTGTCCTATCGCAGATTAAGAGAAGATCTAATTTTGATGTACAAAATACTGAGAAACGATTTCGGACCTAACTTATTCTCTCTTTTTCCTCCCACTAGATCGGGACATCTCAGAGGACAAAGCAGGCGAGTAGAAAAGCCAAGAACGAATAAAATACTCGTGGCATACAGGTTTTCACATCGAGTCATCAATACTTGGACCCTGCTGCCCGAAACAGTGGTGTCCGCACCTTCAATTGACTCTTTCAAGAGAAGACTGGACACTCCCAGAAGCATACTAGAAAAGGAATAACATAGGTCGTAGGCCTTCTGTCCTTACTACACAAATCTGAAAAGGTCTAGAGGTGAAATGTATCGAAGCCAACATAAACAATCTACTGGTATCCTTTGGTGACAAGTCCACATACATTAAGCGAATCTCCTATGGTTCTATTTGAACTCAGCGTACATATTTGCATTTCCGCGTTTCTTAAAACGTTGAAGGTTATTCGGGTCAAGGTCATAAACTAAATCTGGTTTTTGGTAAATTGACTAGTGATGCTATTCCGGGGTTTGACCTCAACAATCTTGGTAGTTGGACTGTAGTTTAATGACACTATTCTAGGCTAACAAAACAGGATTTGTGTCTCTCACTAAACATGCTAAGCAGTTTCATCTCGTAAGTGACATTTAGTGCTGTATTACTTAACAATTATCCAATCTTACAGTTTTTCCAAATATTAATATATAAACTTATAAGTTTACATATGCGGTCAGATTTATTCCTCATATATTTCATTCCTGTCTGTTGGCATACCGCAGGCCACGGCAACTGTAACGATCGAATCTCCTATTTTGGGGAAATTTTTTGTTTTAGTGTGTAGTGTCAGTCATTATTTTAGGCCCATATATCTTATTCTAGCTTTCAGACATTCCATCCTATTCATTCTACTTGAGTCATATTTTGACCTTGTCAATTATTCGCTTATCAATCTAGACTTTTTATATCAGCGTATATGTGTGCACACATTGCCTGCCTCAATTGATCATATGGATTAGATGCAGGTAATTATCCAACGTACCTCATTATCGGATGAAAAGAGATTACAACAATTACTGCACGAATGTGGGCTAGGCGACAAGTCACCGTCTCAATTATTACGCCACATGAGACAATTGGCCGGCCCTTATAAATTTGATGATGCTTTCCTCAAGGAGATTTGGCTACAACGTTTGCCAACAGTAGTTAGGCAAATTCTTTGCGCTTCTAGCCAACCATTAGATTTAGAAAGTCTTGCTAGCATGGCTGATAAAGTTCTAGAAATTACACCCTGTACTACACCTTACGTACAGACAATATCAGAAACTTCGAACGACAAGTAAACTCCTACCATAGCATCGTTAACTGCTGAGTTAGGCGAACTACGAGCACATCACGAATGAGCTGTTGCCAGTCTTGAAAATAAACTAGATGCATTACAATTATTAATCTCCAATTTCACATCTACAAGACCCCTCTAGTTCTCGGGGGAGTAAGAATCGAGATAACTCAAAAGGAAATAAAAACGACGACCCATTTTTGTGGCCCGTGGATCTGACTCCTATTTAGATCATATGAATGTTTGCTATCACCTATTCTCGTATATCATCGTCCACTTGAATCGCGTTAGGCAATAACGGAATTAAATAAGTCGAATAACGAGAATTGACTTGTGAATACATATGTTTTGTATATGAAGCGAATGAAACAGAGCAAAGCAAAATGACACGCAGGGAAGATGGCTGGGAAGCCAACTCCATTTTTGTCAAGCGTTACTCAATATTTATAGGCAGACAAAATCAAACTACGGGCCTCCACAAAAATGGTGAGCCCGTTCGACAACATCGTTCGATCTAAACGACGGCAGGACTACGGGCCACCGAAAGTGTAATTCCGGGAATGCCGCTATGTAAAGCTTTAGTGCATTTCTGAAGAAATGGCACAAAACCCTCAAAAATTTTCCCTAAACTTTGGGAAAAAAACCCGAAATTTTCCCCAAATCGGCAAATTAATGGTCAGATCACGAGCTCCCAATTTTAGGGAAAATTTGGCACATGTTGGGGAAATTTTAGGAAGGCCATTTGACTTCGGAAGTTTCCCCAAAATTGGAAGCTCGGGATTCAGATTTGTGTAGTAAGGACAGAAGGCCTACGACCTATGTTATTCCTTTTCTAGTATGCTTCTGGGAGTGTCCAGTCTTCTCTTGAAAGAGTCAATTGAAGGTGCGGACACCACTGTTTCGGGCAGCAGGGTCCAAGTATTGATGACTCGATGTGAAAACCTGTATGCACGAGTATTTTATTCGTTCTTGGCTTTTCTACTCGCCTGCTTTGTCCTCTGAGATGTCCCGATCTAGTGGGAGGAAAAAGAGAGAATAAGTTAGGTCCGAAATCGTTTCTCAGTATTTTGTACATCAAAATTAGATCTTCTCTTAATCTGCGATAGGACAGACTAAAAAGGTCCAGCTTTTCAAGCCGTTCTTTGTATGATAAACCCCGGAGTTCTGGAATTGCACTAGTGACTGCCTTCTGTACTTTTTCTAGGATATCTGGGCCACCTTTTAAACAGGGACGTGCAGCCTGAACGCAGTTCTCAAGCTTATTCTCACTAAGGATGTGTATACTATGGTGAACATGGTAGTATATAACTTAGTGAATGTCCGTTTTAAAGCCCAGAGGGTTGGAAACCCCTTAGCTGCGACCTCCAGGCAATGGGCTGTCATCTTAAGAACATGACTCACTGTCACCCCTAGATCCTTATGAGACCGGACCACGGGTAATAGGCATCAGCCACTCTTTAGACCAGTTAATCATATTATTTAAGTCCGCCTGAAGAGCACATGCGTCTGTGTCTCCAGTTATTACTCTCCAGATCTTTACACCGTCAGCGTATAACAACATTGGAGATTGTACTATACTTGGAAGATCATTAACATACATTATAAAGAGTAAAGGACCTAGGACGGAATCTTGAGGTACCCCACTAAGTTCTGGTCTTCAGATGGAGCACTTTGAATTTATTCTTACTTTCTGTCTACGACCTACTTGGAAATCTTTAATCGATTTTAAAAGATGTCCGACAGTAGCAAGGTTTTCCAACTTTTATGGCATTCTATTAGTTGGCGCCTTGTCAAAAGCTTTACTGAAGTCTATGTAGACAACATCCACTGAGTTTCCTTTGTCTAGTGCGTTTATCCAAAACTCCCTTGCTGTAAGGAGGTTCGTTGTACCAGATGGACACTTTCTAAAATCATGTTGTTCTTTGTTTAGCAAGTTATTGGTTTCTGTAAATGCCATTATGGTCCGTTTAACTATTCTCTCCAATATTTTAAACACAACACTGGTGAGGCTTGCAGTTCTGTAGTTCTATGAATCTTGTATTGGTCCTGTTTTATGTATGGGAGTGACGATTGCGTCCTTCCAGTCCATAGGTAACACACCTTGGTCAAGTGACATTTTGAATATCACAGTCAGTGGGGCTGCGATATATTGGGCAATATGTCTCAAGATTTTAAGGTGTAGTTCATCTGGTCCTGTTGACTTCTCCATGTTTAGGGTGCTAAGAGCCTTAAGCACATCGTTTTGGTCGAAGTCCACGGTGAGCAGCTGGTTTGTTGACTCTGTAATTGGGTCTGGTTCTTTCTCTAGAGGAGGTTCCTGAGTGAAAACTGCCCCAAAGTAGTCAGCCATAGCCTCTGCTTCTTCCTGATCTTCCTCTGTCATTTCAGATTCACTCCCTTCTTTAATTAGGTTGGGAATCCAATGATGCATGATTGTTCTGTAGTTTATGTACGAGAATATTCTCTTGGGTTGCTTGAGTGCAGATTGTGCCAACTGCATTTCATATATTCTTTGAGCTTCCCGAATTTTTGTTATACACTTGTTTCTTACCGATCTGTAGCGTTCCATCGTACTTGCTGTGCCAAGGCGGATGGCAACATCCCAACATTTCTTCTTTTGTCTTAATAAACGTTGAATATCCCGGCCTATCCAGGGATGGCCGTGTTTCTTCTTCTTTGGAACTGTCCAGGGTATGTATTGTTGCGTTACCCGATTGTATAACTGCCTGTAAAGAGTTCATGCCTCTTGTACTGATGCATTTGAGTCAATTTACCAGTTTTCAGCCGATGCTGTGGAGTTGATTGCCTCCATATCTGCCTTCCATATATTAGGACCGGCCGGCGCAACTGTTTGACAGGCAATCTCAGCAATGAATTTGAATAAGATGACTGCATGGTCACCTCTCCCTAATGGTGGGAGAAAAGTCATTTGACCAACGTCATCACCGTGTGTGAAGACTAAATGTAAAAGAGGAGTTTCTTAAGTCATATCTTGTGGGGTTTCTAATGTGTTGGAATAAAACCAATCCAATCGAGGTTTCTAACAGTTTGCAATCGAACGACGTTATCAGTGACCCTACTTCTAAGTAAACCCAATTTATATACGGTGCATTAAAGTCGCCTACTACAAGGCTTTTACCCTTGTTACACCAGGACTTAAGTTTACTTAGGAGAAAATCATCTGCTACACATTCTAGACTGGGATATACTACAACTAATACAATAACTTGCCGTCTACATTTCAGCTTACATCGCACCAGTTTACATGTCCCTGAAACACGTGCCACTGTCTCAGCTACTCTTACGGGTACTCTTAGGGTACTTTTCGTGTACAGGATAACCCCGTCTCCCCTACAGTTTAATCTATCAGCCCTACTGGTTAAAAAACCAGTCAACTGAATTTCATTATCTAATACTTCTGACGTTAACCAAGTTTCCGAGATAGCAATAACATCCGGTTTTTTTATCCACCATTGACTTGAGCCCCGCCATTTTTTTTAGTAGACTGCAACCATTTGTGTAGCATACCTTTAAGTCTGTGGAGAACTTTCCCTTACCACCCAGAGTCGTTTGGGGATCGTTTTGCTCCGAACTTTTACAATTTGAAAACCCTTCTGAACGAGGTTTTGGCGACGCTCATTTATTTCCACTTCTGCAGCTCGTCTCTTAATACGGCCAGCTAGACTTAGATCCTCACGGACGTATATTCCGGACCCAATCAGTTTACGTGAGTTGCATAGAATTAGGTTCCTTTCTTCAACCGTGGCAAATATAACCGTCAAGAGGCAGTTTTTCTGAGGAATTTCGGAATCCACCTTTTGTCCTATTCTATAAAGCTTATAAATACTAACTCCTGAAACTGTATCTGGGAATAGTTTGCTTATTAAAGACTTAATATGACTGAGGTCGTGTTCAAATCTAGGCGTTGGTTCCTTATCGGAAGATTCTCTTAACTTATGAAAAGTGACTGACCTCTCAGAGAGATCTGTCTTGACACGCAGTGGAGTTTTTGTTTCTGATACCGTCTTTTCCAATGACTTGCTAACCAGCTGTGTTTTACCTACAGTTTTGGCTTCTAAAAGTTACCATCGTCTCCACGTTTCCTTAAACACTAAGATTCCTCAGTTTCAGTTCACATGTCATTTTCTGCTTACTTAACTATCATTATAACATCGGAATCCGACACGTGCATATTCTTTACTTCAACATGGAGATGTGTAACTGTGATGTTGTACTAAGTTATTGTTTTAAGCATCTCTTCCTAGTAGCAAAATAAATCATGGTATTTTGACCGGTTCACTATTGTTTTTGGTCTTTTTCACATGTAGGTATCAATGACTATCACGTTATATATTGTTCTGTTTTAAACCGTTTTAAGACGGAACGGCTTAGTTTGTCAGTAGTTAGTTGTTTTGTAAACTATTAGAGTTGTAACCATCTCAACTTTCTTCAACCGTATCGATGAGTCATGGGCTAACTTATCAGTTTCTTAGATAAAAAGGCTGAGATTCCGGTGTCTTAATTTCCAAGTGAGCGGATGCTCTACGTATCCTTTTAAGAGTCCCAAAACCTTTAGCAGCTACTGGTCTCTAGTATGTAATGATTGTTTGGCACTAAACGTTTTATTTCAAATTTTCATTACGTCGAATACAAACATTGGAATGAGAGGAACCAAATATTCATGTACCACGCAATAAGAATGAGGTTGTAAAGAGATTAAAAAGGAAATGTCATAAAAAAAACAATAAACAGAAATTAGCGTATGAAAGCGAAATGGTAATAATGGGAGAAGCAGTTCATATGAAATGAAACTAACCAGAAAGAATTTTCTTAGTCAAAGAAGTTACTATTACTTTTATCAAGAAAGTTACAACAGTATCGCCACTGGTTTCTATTCTGAACCATGTTTTATAACGTCTCAAGTCATTGTGTTGCATTATCTTCATGCCATCGCACTATATCGTCCACATCTCCGCTTTTCCCAACCAGTCCCAGTGTCGGCAAATAATGCACGACGTGGAATTCTCTGGGACGACATTCGTAGAACATGTCCAAGCCACCGAAGTCGATGTTTCAAGATAGTGAAACCAGTTGGATTATCGTCTCTGCACCCGAACACACGATGCCGAACCTCTACATTACTAACATGGTGTTGCCACTGGATGTCAGCAATCCTGCGGAGACAGCGATGGTCAAACACAGAGTCGTCTAACATCCTCAACTCGGAGAGGCCAGGTTTCACAAGCATAGAGCAAAACTGCTTTCACTGACGTGTTGTAGATCCGACCTTTTACAGCCAGACTGATATCACGAAGGCGCCAAAGATGGCCCAGATTGGCATAAGTCGCTCTGACTTTCACTATACGTGCATTGATCTCATCACTCACGTCACCAACAGCACTTATGCAGCTACCTAGATACACGAACTTCTCGACTACTTGTATCTGCTCACTACCCAGGGTGAGTGCAGGATCAGGATGCTATCAGTCTTGTAGAAGTACTTTGCACTTCGAAGGTGCAAAGCACATACCATACCCACGGACGCTAATCACCTGCATGGCTTGGGTATTATCGCACAGTAAGGCAATATCATCGACACACTCAAGGTCGAGAAGTCTTTCTCCAGGCAACAGATTCACATAGACATTACTTACACCCATAAGAGCTGTTTCCAGAACGTCATCGATGGTAAAGTTGAAGAGGAATGGTGAGATTGGGCAACCCTTTCTAACCCCACTGCTTGAATAGAACAATGGAGAAAGGTGATTATATGCCCTCACTCTCTTTGGGGTGTTTGTATATAGGGCCTTTAGGATGTTAACGAACTTTTCAGACACACCCTTCTTCAATAGACAGTCCCAGAGAACAGTCCTGTCAAACGAATCGAAGGCGCTAGCTTAAGACCAGCAGAAGTGACTTCTTTCACTGATAAACCCCTTTTGCTACCTGGAAATCCACTACTATTGGATTTATTATGCCACTTCTAAACCCAAATTGAGTCCTTTTTTGTTCAGGTCTCTTTATTCTTATGGTAAGTGACATATCTTTAAGCACATGCTCACCAGTTTATTGTAGTTTGTTTATTTCTCAGTATTAAATCTTTCTTATTCAGGTTTGAACATTACCTTCCGTAATTATGTCCTGTTTGACCCTTAATCTGTTGATCGACTGCGTAACCTTTAAATCTTAAGGATAGTGATTCCAGTAACTTTAGGAGGAAATGAGTTATTGTGTCATCCTAATTTCTCCCACTTATTGGAAGCGAATTTTCGAACTTAAATCCTTACTCTTCGATTTTATGATCACTCTTATGTTCCTTAACTACAAGTAAGACAGCCTTTCATAAATGACGTCAAGTGCTCTCCATCTATTTCACTACTTTCCATTCAGTCTTTTGTAATGGTTGGATGGGGAGCAGTTTTGTATTATTCATATTATTAGGACCTTTTTGTATCTCCGATTATCAGTCCTGTTAGTTTGCTTATCAGTGGAAGCAGTCTCGTTGCAGTCTTATTTTTATTTGGTTCGGTTCTATTTGTCTGAGCTATATGCTTCTTGGGAACACTTATAAGTGACATGCGACAGGTGTTTGAGCAGCAGTTTTGCACATTCGAATGCATCCTGCCTTGCTAAACCTTTTAAAGGCTTCGGATGTGAAATCTGTCCAAAAGTTAGGGTACTAGCCTCTAGCCTTACCATAGTATACACAGCTTTTTCCCATGGAAAATAACACGGTCGTTGATAGCACGTTTACGTAACCATCGCTCAAAAGATATTAATTTGTGTCATAAAAACTTGTATTGAACTAAAACTTGTTGGGAAAATACATCAATTTATAATTAAACTATCAGATTAATGAGTACAAGATGAAAACTATCACAAAATCTGGTATTCCGGATTTCTTAACTGAATTCAATGAGAGCAAAAGCAGTAGGCTTTAATACTTAAAAAGGGTCAAGACTGGAAAAACTCATCGAAAAAAGAAGAGGTACCAAACCTTTTTAAAATAGGGGTTTTGAGCTGAAAACCAGAGTTCTGAGATGGGCGATAATATTTGTTCTTCGAGTGGATAATTTTGGCGTGGTTTCGTTCTTTAAACTGGACGGTTTAGTCGTGAAGCATTCTTCGTCTTTTTGGACATCGTCATTATATTGTTTTTCTAATTTCTTGTACAATTCAGGGTACTTCATCAAATGCTGAGGAAAAGAAGACCGTTACTCTCCTACCTGGTGATGGGGTGTGGCCAGAACTCTTCGTTTGTGTAAAGTCAGTCTTCAAAGAATTCAATGTACCTGTTCAGTTTGAGGAGGTGAAATTTGGGTAAGAAATAGATTGGTATCCTGTTTCATTCCCCCAGATTTAACAATAATTTAGATCCAAATGGTGGTCTCTATAATGCTGTCAACTCTGTTACTAAAAACAAGGTCGGTTTAAAAGGAATTGTCCGTACACCTGTCGAAACTCAGGGATCTAGTGCACTTAACCTAAGAATGAGGTATGTCTTTGTTTCTGATCAAGTAAGATCTATATTTTTCAATTTATCCGTTTTTCTGCCGTGTTTACAATATTGAAGTTTGTACCTCTATTGTGAACAGTAAATTTTGACAACAGTTTGTTTTGGACTGAACCAATAAGCTTTTTTTCATTATCATATTTTATGTAAAGTAATTGTCTGTACTGATAGCCAAAAAATGAAAAATATTTGATCTTATTTCTTAAAGCGTTTTTAGACTAAAAAATGCTTAAGTATAGACTCGACTATTTGTTGGATTACTTGGTATGAGAATTTGTTGAATAAATGGGAACTGTATATAAAGTGGTTTCCTTCCATACTTGTTCATTATGAGTATTATTTTACTAAGTTCAAGATAGTTAGCGGAAGCTTTCTCGTAACTTTTGAATATATTATTTACGTAATACAATTTAATTTTTTTTCTGTAGATAGTTTCATGTCAATTCTGGCACCAAGTATATATTTTAATCTTGTCTTACTGATACTCATTATTTCTGAAGAATTCCTTGTAGTTAGTTTAATAAAAATACCAAATTTGCATTGTCATCAAGCACCAAGGTAAATTTGCTGGTCCTTCAAAACTTGTCGTTTTCGATTTGTAAGTTACTTGTTCTTTTTTGTTGGTGAAGTTCCTGAGGTTTAATTAACGTCAGTATGGCATGCTATTGTCATTTTGAGGTGATGGATAATATTTTTAGCTCAGGATGAGAATTTTGGAGTTATTGTGACCCCTGAAAGCTCCACAAGTAATCCGTCTAGCTTTTGTCGTTTGCTAAAATATCTAGTTACTTAATGTTAATGAATAAATATTTGATGAAATGTCACCATGTTTCAGGGAATAATCATAGCTATTACTACTCTTGTTATTTTAATACTTACAATAACATTTCAGCTGGTTTTAAATTTCCATTTTTATCTTGGAAAATCACAAACTAGTTATGGAAATACTTTTCATTGTGACTCCACACGAGTACCATAGTTTAATAGAATACACGACACTGTAATTACTTTTTGTGTGTTAATTTAAAAAGTCGCTTTTCAGGCATTTGGTAGTAGTTAATTAAGCAAAAGTAACATGTGAAAGTGAAAATAATTTTTTTCTCTTCAACTTCTGCATCAAGCAATTATTGGGAAAAAAACTTATTGTTTTAAGGTGGTTTGTTGTCTATACTAACTACACATGATAATAAGAAATAGAAAGAAAATGTTTTCGTGTTTTCAAATGTTCTGAATATTTGCAGTTTCATCCATAAATATTTGTACATTTCATATGATAGTTGATGCATTTTTACATAGCATTCTTTTCGAGAGTGTCTACTTTGGTGATAAATCGTACTTTTTATTGTTTTGTTTATTTGTTGTAGACGAGCTTTGGATCTGTTTGCCAACGTTGTTCACATTCGTACGTTGAAAGGGATCCCAAGCTTTCATCAAAATCTTGATTTAGTCATCATACGTGAACAGATAGAAGGTGAGTATTCGTCACTGGAACATGAATCTGTTAAGGGCGTAATTGAGTCCTTAAAAATTATAACACGAAGTAACTCTGAACGAATTGCAAAATTTGCATTTGATTATGCTGTCCGCAATAAGCGTAGGAAAGTTACTGCTGTTCATAAAGCTAACATTATGTAAGTTTTCATTCATATTTATGTATTTACTTCCAAATGTTTTGACAGTATTAAGTAGTCAGTGTTCAAAACGTGAACTTATACCTTATTTTTTGTAAACGATATACAAAGATAAGGTGATAAGTGTTATATTTTAAAATATATTACTATTATTCCTCGTTATGAACAATTGGAAGATGTATCTTAATACGCCAAATCCCAGAGTAGTAGAGGTAGTAACGATCTCAGTGGTAGTAGAAAAGATTAGACATCGAAGATACAGTTTAAGAAGACATAAATTTGTGAAAAAGGTTATGAGAAATTTAAAATTTCAGAGTTTGAGAGAATACAAAGATTGGATGCACTTGGGCGATTGCAAATGATTTTGAGCCACGCCCTTCTAAGTCTCTAACTACTGGTTGCGTTTGTCACGCAGACCCCAACCAGGTAGTTTACATTTATTAGTATGGCTCAGTCCAGTTGTCATTGACTTCGTGGACGGATACCATGTTTTGGTTTGGCTGCCCCTGTTTTTCTTCCAGTTTACTGCTACACCAAACAACATCCTCCGTCGAGGTTAGGGAATGATTAGGCGTATGTAACTCATATCCCAACCGCCTAAGTTGATGAAGATATACTACGTCACCAATCGATTTGCTATCATTATGTAGTGGATGCTACTCACAAGATTGCTTGTAAATATTATGTTGTGGAAGGTAGCGTCAATGTTGTAGGATGGAGTGAAGAGTTTCAGTACAGCGAAAGCACGGCGTAGGCGAAACCCACGTAGACCAAATGAGAAGATAGTTGAGACGAAAGAACACCGAAAAATGCTGTGAATATGTATTATCTAGACGCTTTGTAACCTCTTACAATAAATATAGATTTCCTCCGTCTATTGCTCTTTTTTACACTTATGTAATACCCTATTCTTAATCCAGGTATTGCTTCCTCAGTGGTCCCAAAATATACGACCAATATTTCGAAGGCATCTGTGATCGAATACTAGTGAATTACGGCTATCCTCTGTTCTTAGTAGCTACGTCCCATATCCATAAAGTGGAACGGTGCGAACTATTGCATAGTAAACTCATTCTTTGGTTGAGAGAGTGACATTTTACTTACTCCACAAGTGATACAAGTTGGGAAAAGCCAACAGAGCCTTCTGAACTCGTAACAAGATAAGTAAATCGGTCGATACGTTCAACTACCTTAGGACTTTGATTCTGGAACTGACAAGTTCTTATCAATAAGTCAAGCTGATAGCTAAAGTTGTTTTATCAGACACTAGTCTAGGCTCATACTGACGACCGAAACAAAAGGTGGACTACTAACTCTAAGTCCTCACAATTAGACAAAATGGACACAAGAACACATAGACTTCGTCATAAGGGTTTATAAAACCTAATATCCAATTTAGTAGTCCAAACAGATTTAAGGATTATGAGAAAGAATACCATATGTATTTATTTAGGTCATTGTGTACCATAAGGACATATATACACTGTCTTGTCAGCTAAAATCTTACGGTGGGCTCCACTGGCGAGGTAGCGGTTTCTTAAGTGATTCACCTGTTTCAGTCTGTTGGTCTGAAGGGTTCTACAGTTCTTAAACATGGAAGTCTAAAGTGAGGCAAACAGGGTTTAGTGGATAGCATACCTTTGTGATATACATTTTTAAACGTACTTGTATTTTTAATTTCAGTATTTATCTAAACAAAAGTCCATTAAATATATTGCTACCGTATTTTCAATATTCTTTTGGTAATTTTTTTATTCAGGAAATTAAGTGATGGTTTATTTCTCGAAACTTGCCAAAATATGGCCAAACTTTATCCACATATTCAGTTTAATTCAATGATTATAGATAATTGTTGTATGCAACTGGTCAGTAATCCTGAACAATTTGATGTGATGGTTATGCCAAACCTATATGGTAACATTGTTGATAATCTTGCTGCTGGTTTGGTTGGTGGTGCTGGGGTTGTACCGGGTGTATCATATAGTCATGAAGTTAGTTTGAATTTCAAATACTTATTCATTTTATGTGATTTGCTGGTGCTAGTCACTATGGTAGTTGGAAATATATTTCGAAGCCGTCATCTATATTTTATACTTTTAAATGGTGATGATATGGTACTGTGAAAGTGAATTCGCACATACTTTGGGACTTGTATACAATTTATTCAGCAACAGGATTGTAATTTGTTAACCTAAATTTATCTGGTATCTGTGGAATAGATTTAATGTTTATAAAAGTTGAACCCTTTGGGTTCTGCTCAATTATTTTCAACCATCAAGATATTTCGTTGACCAAGGAGGTGTATTGCACGTAAAGATTATTATTATGAGCTCAAACCTAGCAGTTTATATTTGCTAAGGATTTTGTAGATTATGTGACTTTTCTAGAGTAAAATTAAGGTTTAGTTCAACTAGAAGTGAAATAGTGCGTATACAAGAAAACGTATTTACTCAAATAAAACATCTATATGTACTCAAGGTTTGGTATTTGATTGATTAACATTTATTATTAGACTTTATTGATAAGTATGCTCATAGGAGAAGAGCGATGACAGCGTATTCATAGTTCGTCGAATGAACTGTACGTTTTACATAAATATATTAGTTAGTAGTCATTACAATTTGTTTGTTTACCTATTGAACCATTGAATATGGAATTCACTTTGTACGGGCGTAAAATATATCGTTAATAGGAATCCAAATATTAGAATAGAATAGTTACAATATTTATTTTATATTCTTTATATTATTTCGAAAATGAAGCCAATGCTGCGTAGTATTTTAGTGGATTTCTTTGAATAATATTAATTATGAATTCAAAACTTCGAGTTTAACAATATTCGAATATTTTCAGTGACTTATTTCATTTTAAAATCTTATTCCTCTTTGTTGTTTTCTTAGTTTGCTGTTTTTGAACCGGGCACTAGACATTCATTCAATGTGGCATCAGGCAAAAATATGGCTAATCCAACAGCGATTCTATTAGCCAGCTCAAATTTATTACGTCATATCAATTTAGAAAGTTATGCCAATAAAATTGAAACAGCTTTACTTAAAATTATTAAATCTAAGAAAGCATTAACTTCTGATATCGGTGGTTGTTCATCTACAACTCAGTTTACAGAAGCAATAATAGAACAAGCTCATATTTCTTAATTATATCATACAAAGACTACTCTAACTTTTAACTTAAACAGTTATCTATTAGATATATGCTTTTTGTATAGTAGTCATAAGTTTGAATCTAATTCTAACTTATGACTAGTATTCTAGTTCCTTTGTATTGTGTATCAAACAGTCAGTAGATTATTACTATTATTAATGATAGTAAAATAAGTCACTGATCCATGTTAAAATGTTATGCTTGTAAATAACTACGCATTTACGAATTCTTTTTATTTTCAAGACAGTGTCGTTATTCTATTGAACTGAAATTAATCTAACTTTCTAAATTCAAGTTGGATCATTCTCATTCATAGTTGATCCGAAATCAATAGCCTTTCATTCCCCATTATTTTAAAGCTTGTTTCATATATATATCCTTTTACAAATGGATATACTTGCAATAGTTTGAGAAATTGTGTTTATGATTATTAAATTCATGAAGTTGTGGGAGATTTAATGCTAAAAATAGGATATTAGTTAAACTAATTGGTGGTAAAAGGACCAGAAAGCTCCTAATAAATGGTTCCAATAAGTTATTTCCATGTAAGTTAGATCTTTGAAGCCCATTACTCGCTAGTTCCTCTTTTTATTGATAGGACTTCCAGAATTTTAGTGGCAACCTGTGGTTAATTTGTTGTAACAGCTTATAATAAGGATAACTGTTCACTAAAGGAGTTGGAGAATTCTAATCCATATCTAGCAAAATGTTTGCACTAGTAAATGATCATCCACTTAATGATCATCTAGTGATTAGTTTGTGACATGATTATCACATTATTAGAAGAAAACAGGTATTTAGATGTATCGCTTTCGAGGCCAACTGTATATGAAAGCCTACGACCTGTATAGCTACTTAAATGTATTTAAATCTTACTGATGTAAATATATTGAATAGGCAAAATCTGATGAAAGCATATCGCTACCGGTTATTGAAGGTTTAGTAGTGAAGCTGGCATACAGAACAGATGGGATTGTTTGATCCATAGCATCCCGTCACACTGTCTAAACGAATACTAGGAAACTTTGAGTGTGAAGTCAGTCGTGTAGAGGTTGGATGATGAATTGTAAATTACGGTTATCTGTCAACGTTTGTGTTCTGTAGGAGATATGAAGATTAATGAAAAGTGTGGGTTGAAATGGATTCGCAAACCTTGGTCTGTAGTTTGAGAACTGTACGAGTAGCTTTCTTATTATCTAAATAATGTATTTTTAAGACACACTAAGATTTAAGTAAATAGGTATAATTGGATGTCCGAGAGACATAGAGCCTGGGAGAGATGTTTATCGGTCCAAGTTGTTACCTTACCATATTGACATAACAAGACGAATAGCTAGAGAGGTCGAAGTAATATTAACAGCGATAATAAGGAAGAATATAATTCGAAAAGACGATGGAAAAGTATGTATTAAAAAAATGCGCAAATTCAAGGTATAAAGTGAACGATTGTAAGTTGTACCATCGAAAGCTTCGAGTCATTGATTGTGACTATAATGACCACCTCAACCATATAGCCTGCATCGACCAATAGCTATATTAAGATCCACCTTATTGATGGATCTGCACAATAAAACCAACTCAGAAATCAGTGCATATTTTGATATGATTTACTACTTAGATGTGATTTCTGTCAGTTGTTAACTAAATAACTGCTGACCATTGAAATTCTGCCGAACCCTACTTTGGGAATCGTTAAGAACAAACACCCGCAACCCTCTCTGTTATCATTCTCAGAACTTTCCGGTCTCAGTATGGACAATATATATCGATCACTGAGGCAAAATCTAACGATTCACATCTTCAATCCCAGTCAGCTTGTGCATTGAGATCTGTAACTATTGTCATCAGAGATAACTGTTACTTTTGACGTGGTTAAGTTCACTGGCTTTTCTGTATGACTTCTGGAGATCAGTCACGAACTATCTATGGAAATTAGTTAAAATTCTGTAATTTCTTATAGTGGGAAAGCTGTATATAAGATTTGAGATGTAGATATGTCACCTACAAAAATAAACTGACTTGGTGTATTTTTATTCGGTGAAATTACAGTATGCTAATATGGTAGATTATAGCGACTCACGTGCGATTGAGTTTATTCTCATTTAACTCAGTTAAGCAATTTCGCTAACTTATTTAGCGGACCAAGTCATCCGCACTAATAACAATTTATTGTACCCTTATCATTTTGTGCTTGTATGAACGGTAAACAAGACGAGCTGTATACGAAGTTTAAGGATTATTTTGAATACCGACCACCACGAGATAATCTGTAACAATCTAATGCACTAAGACTGATTACTTTTGAGTTTTTGCTGTATCTAGTCCGTTTACTATGTGAAGAATTACAATTACAGTCATTAATATGCACCACATTAAATTTTATCTATATAAACATACCATTTCCTTACACCATACTAACTGTTCCAATTTACGATATGGAAACGCTGTTAGCGTTTATATAATTGAAAACGATAACTTAAGCAGACCTTATAAGGGGAGTTTCATGTGGTTGAGTTATTTTATAATAGTTGACCTGACAAAATAATGTGAATATTTATTTGTTAGAACACTATGCTTCATAAAATTCAATGTAAATATCCTTATGATTCTTATCGTTTCCTCTAATTAGTTACCAGTAGTCTGTTAATTAGCTAAGTTATGCTATAGCGGTTGAATGTCATGAAAACACATAGCCGCTTTAGTTTGTCAGTAGATTTTCACACACTCTGTAAATCAGCTAGAGAGTCTATATTCTTCTATATTACGTTTTAAAAATCTGTTCTGTTAGCAATGTCATTTCGACTAAATCATTTCAGTATTGCATTAAGTCACTTCGATTATGATACATACCTAAATGTATACGACTAAACTGTGTTGTAAAATAAACAAAATTTCTCAAATAGGTGTTTGTGTAATAATTTCACCAAATGAAATTAATCAGTTCCTAAAGTTTGTATTAACTAGTACACTGACAGTAGTAGGATCAATTTTAATTCGTTTTTATTTGGCAAAATGAAGATTTTATGAAATAATCGCTGATATCAATTTTAGTAGTGTCTAGATTTGTAACAAATAATTTCATATGTTAAATGTTATTAACAAGTGGTTTAGCTAATTGTTTACTCTTACCACAAAGTGGTTGTATTCAGTTCACTGAATATGTATTTTCCAATTTGATATTCTACTATGTATATTTTTTTATTTTACTGTAAATGAGATTTATTTTGTTTTAAATGTTATGTACTATTACCAACGTTGTTTTTATGTTGCAAATATAGTAGTGAGTGACTAGGTGGTCATGGCGCGATTAGTACCGTAATATTCATCCAATTTGTAATATTTCTAATTATCTCGCGGTTTATATTTTGAGTGAATTTTGACCAGTCTTTGTGAACACTAACTTTAGAATTGAGGTGAATCCAACTGTGGAGTCCCAAATATAGCGAAACTCGTATTCTAGATACCACTGCTAACCACATTTTATGTATTCGATAGAAGCTATAACATTTAGCTTCGAAACAGCATTCTGTTTGTGTTGTTTTCTCTGAACTAGATTATTTTATTGGGGCGCTTTCATCATCGTTCTGTCCAGAATCACGAGCTCCTACCTCATGCGAGGAATGGAATATTACTAAAAGCATCTAGTTGAGCTACAAATCTTCACCATCAATTTAAAAAGCTTTATATCTCTGAACAATGATGAGTAACACTGAACAAGCGAACTTTTAAATCTAATTATCAGTACTTGGGGTAGTAGTAATAATAATAACAGAGGTAATAAAATCACGTTAATGTAATGTGCGCTGTGAAAAATTTATTTTTAACTGGCAGTCCTAATCGGGTTCACTTATTTCCACATGTATTACTCTTCGTGATTTTACATTTGGACAAAATCTGGGTCAATAAAAATATAGATATGACGTAGGTATGCGTTTTTATTATGAAAGCAGATTGTTGTGTTAACCACTAACAACTGGAGATTTAATTTTTTTTTCTTCAAATATCATCTGGTAAAATCTAAAGTAACATACAACATTGTAATTTTAGTGGGTTGCTCCAACAACGCTATGTTGTCCTTGAAGATATCAGATGATGTTTATCAACACTACTAGTCTACGGTCATTCTTTATTATTTCTGATGATGACACTGTTGATAATATAATTCAAAACACATTATCATTAAACCAATAATCATTGTACATACCATTTATACTAAAAATATTGAACTATGAAGAGAATGTACGTACCATAGTGAATGAAGTAAAATATGAATGAGCATTCCTTTTTTTCTTACTAACTGGCTCGGGTTGATAATCATACTTAGGAAATGGAATTTTGATGTGAAGGGATGTAAAGTAACAATTGATAATCATAAGGAAGGTAATTAAAGGCTGGAAGATCAGGAAAAGATGAGCAGCTGGAAAAAACCATATTTTCACCAAAAAATTCATTATGGTAACTGTTTATAATACAAATAATCTTTTCCTACCTAAGTTTGTGATTTTTCATAACTATAATTCAAGAAGTCACAAAAGGATAACATAGAAACTTCAACACGAGCATTCGGTGATCAACAAGGTATCCAAAGTTTGGAATTACTCCTCAACTAGAATAATTCATGAAAGATTTCAGTTTTTATATTTGATAAGTTAAAAGGACGTGTCATATCGCGAAAAGATTTCTGCACAATCTCTTTTCACTTAGAGATTATGCGATTACTTGATCGCTATCACATTTTTCTACTCAATAAGTGTAGTTCAAAATCTAGTATCGGAACTTGGATATAGTTCATTAGTAAAATTAAAATAGTTTTCTAAGCAACTGTAATCATTTAATTGGATAGTTTCCAATTGATACATCTAATCTATGTTACTGCATTTGATTACTGAAATCTGATATTAATCATCATGATCCATCAATAATGGTGCAATGTTGTTATTTGAGTAATTCAGATATTTATCATAAGTAGGCAAAACCTATAGGCAATCTTCATTCGCATAAGTTGATTTATATCTTTGAAACTAGTTATATTATTTTCAAGGCAATAGGTTATCTTTTCATATGAAAGAAAATAAACTATCCTGTATAAATAGACAAATGATAAAAATAAATACATCAATTTTGGAGTTCTCTGAAATGTGTTTTGCATGGTTTTATCGAGTTGGGAAAAGTTAATAGCGAAGCTGAAATACATCACCTTTAATCAGTGGTCTAAATGTCCCATTCTTATTTTGAAATCTATAGGTCATAGATTTGATCTCTTATGGGATAATGAAGATAAACAGATATCCAAGGATCAGTGGTACTTCAATTGGTATCAGTCTACGATATGTTATATTCAAAAATATTAGGTTTTCAAATTGTTTACACTATGAACTGACATTGTATGGTGGAATCAATGAAAACAAGTTACAC